TGCAATAGCCCAAGAAATACCATAATACTAGTCTTGTGGCTTTCCCTCATGATCTTTGGGAATCTAGAATTTTATTTAACCCAACTAATCTTACAGAAGAATTACGCATCCCTGCCCACACCCCTCTGGGACACAGTCTCCCACTGGGCTTGTCCATAGTGTCATGATCCCATTGTGTCCTGATGACGGACCTGTTGTGTTGTTTCTACAGTTTCTGGCCACTGTGTTCAAAACTGCAGTGAGTATTTCAGCACAAACACATTTACTACCTGGACCAAAAAAGTGAGATTACTGTATCCAAGATTCTGCCTATCTGTGCATGAGCACATGGGGGAAACTGCACTCTAGGGTCCTAAGTACAGCATGTGCCACTTCCCACACGCTTGCCCACCCCCCAGGAAGAGTCCCTAGAGCTGCAACACTTGCTTCCCTCCGTTCCCAGGACAGGAACTCACCTACTACCACCCAGCACTCACAGCTCACCATCTGTGTCCTTTTTCATTCATCTTTCCCAAAACTCAAGAAAATAAATGAGAAGGCAAAATGCCATTAGCTTAATGGCCTTTAACACCCAGCCATCTGCCATGATGTAATTAAATAAAAAAACCAGAGGGAGCATATGGTGCCCATTATAAATAAATATTAAAAATTTTGTTTCCCTGGGTAATGACTCCAGGGCCTCTTGCTCCACGGGCAAACTTTATGGCCATCTTCTCTTGTTGCAGAGAATCGGGATGGGCCGCGGTGAGTGGAAATAACTGCTGGAGAAGCAACGCGGCCAGATCTAGAGTCAGACATTCCTGGTTTGAACCTGCCTCAGCCACATGGTGGCTGTGTGATCATGACCAAGTGGCCTCTCTAAGACTATTTCCTCACCTGAAAAATTGGGCCAATCTATCCTGCTTTGTTGGGAAGGCATGAGGGTTAAATGAGCTAATTTGTTTAAAATACATAGTACCATAATAATAGCATGTACCATAATTTATTGAACACCTACTATGTGTCAGACACTGTTCTATATATTATTTAATCCTTACAACAATCCTATATGAAAGGTTGCATTCATTCGCCCCATTTTACAGGTAAGAATGCTGAGGTTCAGAGAGGTTAAGTAACCTGTGAAAGGTCACACAACTAGGAAGTGGTTGAGCAGAGTTCAAACCCAGGCAGTGCAGCTCCAGAGCCTGCCCTCCACTGAGCCTGACACAACAGTTTCTCAATAGATGGTCTTCTGTGCCTCAGCTTCAGTCAGCTAAACAATCTCCCCATTCTTATGACAGTACTATTTGCCCAGACTTCATCTCAGAAAAAGATGATGATTCGACGAGTTCATTGTGATGATTAGCGACCACCAAGGTAAGATGTGAAGATGCATTTTGGGGGCTCCATCTAGTGAGTGAAACCCACTCCCTGCTCAGAGGGGTAAGGTCCCGGTGGCCAGGCTGTCCTTCATGACCCTGCCCACTGGCGTAACTAGTACACCATAACTCAGATATAAAACTGGTCAATCAATTCTTGCCCCCTGGGAACATGGGATTGGAACTGAAACACTCTGACCTCTGCTGGTCACTTGGATGAAGGACCTGTAACTGTCATCACACAGCCAAGGAGCAAAATTTAATCTGCAAAGAGAAGAAGCAAGCAGATGAGTAGAGGAGAGCCTCAGAGGAGCCATGAAAGCCTTGGGTTCCTGACTTGCGGAGAGCCATGTGCCAGCACTGAATGGGACAACATGCCTACTTTTCTTACCAGGCTGTTGGGTTTCCAGCAGAGTCTCAAAAACAGTTAGCTACAGGAGAATATATTCATAAATGACATACCTGATAAGGGGTTGACATCCGAATTATATAAAGAGCTCATGCACCTCAACAAACCAAAAGCAAATAAGCCAATTAAAAAATGGGCAGAGGAGCCGAACAGACACTTCTCCAAAGAAGAAATTCAGATGGTCAACAGGCACATGAAAAGATGCTCCACATCACTAATCATCAGAGAAATGCAAATTAAAACCACAATGAGATATCACCTCATATCAGTTAGAATGGCCACCATCCAAAAGACAAACAACAACAAACGTTGGTGAGGTTGTGGAGAAAGGGGAACCCTCCTACACTGCTGGTGGGAATGCAAATTAGTTCAACCATTATGGAAAGCAGTATGGAGGTTCCTCAAAAGGCTCAAAATAGAAATACCGTTTGACCCAGGAATTCCACTTCTAGGAATTTACCCTAAGAATGCAGCAGCCCAGTTTGCAAAAGACAGATGCACCCCTATGTTTATCGCAGCACTATTCACAATAGCCAAGAAATGGAAACAACCTAAGGGTCCATCAGTAGATGAATGGATAAAGAAGATGTGGTACATATACACAATGGAGTATTATTCAGCCATAAGAAGAAAACAAATCCTACCATTTGCAACAACATGGATGGAGCTGGAGGGTATTATGCTCAGTGAAATAAGCCAGGCAGAGAAAGACAAGTATCAAATGATTTCACTCATCTGTAGAGTATAAGAACAAAGAAAAAACTGAAGGAACAAAACAGCAGCAGACTCACAGAACCCAAGAATGGACTAACAGCTACCAAAGGGAAAGGGATTGGGGAGGATGGGTGGGAAGGGAGGGATAAGAGGTGAAAAGGGTCATTACGATTAGCACGCATAATATAGGGGGTGGGACACGGGGAAGGCAGTATAGCACAGAGAAGACAAGTAATGATTCTATAGCATATTACTATGCTGATGGACAGTGACTGTAATGGGGTATGTGGTGGGGACTTGATAATAGGGGAAGTCTAGTAACCATAATATTGTTCATGTAATTATACATTAATGATAGCAAAAAAATACAAAATAGTTAGCTACAGTTAGTCTTCAAAAGCAACTCTACAAAACTTAACATACTCTTAACCATTTGATCCAGAAGTCACGCTGCTTGGTCTTTACCCAAAGGAAATGAAAACTTAATATCTGTACAAAACCCTGCACATCAATGTTTGTAGCAGCTTTATGCGTAACTGCCAAAACCTGGAAGCAACCAAGATGTCCTTCAGTAGGTGAATGGATAAACTGTGATACATCTAGATGATGGAATATTATGCAGTGCTGAAAAGAAATGAGCTACCAAGCCATGAAAAGACATGGAGGAAACTAAAATGCAGATTGTGACATGAAAGAGGCCAGTCGGATAAGGCTGCATGCTGTAGGATTCTGACTTGGTGACATTCTGGAAAAGACAAAACTAGGGAGACAGCTAAAAGATCAGTGGTTGCCAGGGGCTAGCATGGAGGGAGGGATGAATAGGTGGAGCAGAGAGGATTTTTAGGGCAGGGAAAGTATTCTGTAGAATACTGTAGCGGTGGGTATGTGACATTCATTTGTTCAAACCCAAGGAACATACAACGCCAAGAATCAACCCAAATGCAAACCATGAACTTTGGTGATTCCGATGTGTCAATGTAGGTTCATCAATTTTAACAAATGTCCCACTGTCATGGAGGATGTTAATAATGGGGAGAGGCTGTGCAAGTGGGGACAGGGGGTATAGGGGAACTCTCTGCTTGCTGTTCATTTTGCTATGAACCTAAATAACTGCTCTAAAAATAAAGTGTATTAAAAAGGGTTGGGGGGCAATCACCTACTTGAAAAGTCTGGGACACACTAGAGTAGATGTCAGTGAACCATCCAAAATCAGTGGGGAGGGAGGACAGAGTTGCAGAAAGGGACAGTGTCGGGGAGAGGGGATAAAGGGGTGACATGACAGCTCCCCCTGTCCAGCGGTTTGATGATGGGGGCCGAAGGCACAGGTCACCCAGTCCACAGGCCTTCCCTGTCAGGCAGCTGCCTGCCCTCCTCTGAGCCCAGGTGGCTTTCCTCCCCAATAGGGACTGCTGAAGAAAGGCCCTAAATCCTATCATTAAGCCGTCTGGCGTCATCCTTCTCCACCAGGAGTTGCACAGTCTTGGGTCAATTAGTGTGCGTTTGCATAGAGCTCCTGAATAGGTTGCTAATTGTCTGGGGGAGATAATGGATGGCTCTGCTGGTTTTGGGCAGAATGTTTGCCCACAGGGGGAGACCTACAGAGGGTGGCAGAGGAAAGGCAGGAAGGAAGGAGGAAAGGGAAGCTGGGGGAAGGGAGGAACTATTACTGATTCCTATGCAGGAAGAAGTATTATTTTATGAACTTTGCTTTAGGGGTGTGTGTGTACTGGATCCTAATGTAAAATGTATTTCTCACTATAGGTCCAATAAAATTATTTGAAAATGCTAGTGATGGAGCCTACCAAGGGAGAACCACTTGGGGTTTTAGTGGTGACAGAAGGACCCACTGAGAAAACAGCATTTGGGCGGAGACCTGAAAAATGGCAAGGAGCAGCCATGGGGAGATCTGTAGCAAGAAGGTCCGGGCAGAGAGGACACAGTGCAGACTGGGAAGTGGCAAAGGCCCCAGGACATCCCCAAATGGGAATGGGTGGCATGGAGAGAGGGGGGCTGGAGTGGACCCCACCCTGCACGGGCAGGAGAATGTGGGGGTGGCGGGTGGGTTGGGGGATTCTGCTCAAGGCTAGTTCTGAACTGCAGTGCAACACCCACCTATTTCCTAGGGCAGCATACCATGAGGAGGCAGAGGGGAAGAAGGCTTCTGTCTAAGGACCCTTCCTGGCCCAGTGGGCCATGGCCATGACCTGGTGGCTCTCAGAGGTTGAGCTGGGGTCAGGAGCTGTATGTTGGCTGGCAGAGCTAATAAGAGGCTGAAGTCCCGGCAGGGGACAGTGGTGGCTGCAGGATGTCTCTCTGGGTGGGGCTCAGGGCAAAGCTCTGGCTGGCAGGGTAGGCTCAAGGCCTCACCTGACACTGCCAAGGGCGCAGGGCACTTAGATGAGGTGAGAACATCCGATATGACAAACTATGACCTCAGCTAAACTGGCCGCCGCCTGTTTTGGTAGGCCCCACAGCTAAGAAAGTTTTTGTATTTTTGAAGGGTTATGAAGAAGAAAGATAATCCTCAGCAGCAGCAGAATGCATGTGGGCTGCCAAGGCTAAAATATTACTATCTGGCTCTTTTCAGAAAGGTTTGCCAGCCTTGGTATTTATCAGCAATGGAGGCTGATGGAGAGGGGCTTAGGGCCATCGAGGAAGTCGCCCTGTCCTTCCCCAGAGCTCAAAGACCACCCTCCCGGCTCTCAGCCACTTCCTTGGAGCAAGTGACAAAGAGCTAGAAGGAAGTCTGGAGATCCTTTGCCTAGAGAAACAGCCTCCTTTTACAGATGGGAAACTGAGGCCCAGAGAAATGCAAATGAAGTGACCCCCTGCAACTCTGGGAGGAAAGTGTTCCCAGCCCAGGTGAATAAACCTAAGAAGCTGAAATCAGTCAAGGGGGAGAAAACCTTTTATTTGGAGGCCTGGTTCGCTGCCTTAGCTGCCACTCTTGCTTACACGTTTCTCCAGCTGCGGCTCCCTCTCCCCTGTTTCTCTCCCTTCTGGGTTCCTGCTCACCTCTCCACCCACCCCTTGTAAACACCTATTGATATGGAGATGGACTAAGGCCAGGCGAGAGATTCTGGAAATATTGCAATTTTATCCACACCCACATCCACTGGAAATGCCTCACATGGACCTGGATCCAAAGTAAGTGTTCAATAAGTTTTAACTATTATTTTCATTATTGTTACTATTATTATTAGGATATAATAGAATCATAGAGTGCAAAGGGCCTTTAGCAACCCGCTGATATGCTCTGATATTTCACAGCAGAGGAATATGGGGCTCAGAGAGGCTGAAGAGTTGCCCAAGGTCACAGAGGGGCCAGGGCTGAGCTGGTTCCAGGACCAGGACTGCGGCCCTGAAGCTTTCTTTCCAGTGCACACACTGCTCCCTGCCAGGCCCATCACCACCTGCCCCGAACACCCAGGGAACAGCCACTTGCTGGCTCCACACTGGCTGTGGCAGATTAAGCTCTAATTTAGGAACAGTGACAGCTCCTATTAGCAGTTCTTCCCCAAAGAGGAATTTTCCACCAGAAGTTTCCCTACCCCAAATCACCAAAGCCCAGACTTTATGCCCAAGCCAGGGTGTATGCATGTGTCAGTATAGATGTGTGTGCGTGGGTGTCTGTTGGAGGGGGTCTCTGTGCCCCACACCTGGCTGCACAGGTTAAATTCCCTTCCCTCACGGAGCACCCAGCATCCTTTGAGGGGCCGCCAGCCCTTGCAACCAGCACAAGGCAGGACTAAGAGGTGAACTCACAGCCCATCAAAGCTGCAGGGAGGACACTTCACAATCCCCAGGCCAGTGTCCTCTTTGACAGACGGGAAAACTGAGGCCCAAAAGGGATGGTGGAGGGACTCCACACAGTCATCCAGTGACTCTAACCAGACCCGGGTCTCTTGGACCCAGCCTTAAGCCTTGGCACCTTCCAGAGAAGGAAGGAGAATGAATGAACTGCTATGTACTGCATACCTACTATGTGCCAGGCCCTTCCATTTACACGGTGTCACTGACTTTCCCCAGTGCCTCTACATGGCAGGTTGGTTTTATTCTCACTGTACAGATGAGGCATTTGAGGTCAGGGAGGTCAGCTTTCCAGAAGGCAGAGCTGGTGAGCAGCAGAGCAAGGCTCCAACTTAAGCGGGTCTGACTCTAGAACCTTGATTATAACCACTAGTGACACTTGCTCCTGCTGCAGTGCCATCCTCTGACCCTGGAGCCTTCCTCCAAGGAGTCTGCTCAGCAAGCCAGGGCCCCTGCCAATGCCGCTCAGCTGGGACCGAGGGAAATGAGACGGCTCTAGAAGGCACAGGGGGCCCCAGGGATACCTTTACCATGGCCTTCAGTGGCCCACGGAGTTCTGGCACCCAACAGACATGCCCACTCCCATGAGGGCGACCACTCTAGACACTGACCAATACTTCAGCCCTTGGCTCAGCATCTGGAGACTATCGAGAAGGTGCCATGTGACCACACGTGTGCACATGCAGCAGACACACACGTGTACTCTGGAATCCCCATTTAGAGCACATGGCTGGAACCCCTCAATCCACTTCACAAATAAAAAACAGCAGAAACTATGTGACTTGGCCAAGAAACATGGTTAATGTTGCAGGTAAAACGAGAAACTGAAGCTTCTCATTCTGACCAAATACGGTTTCTAATTCCTGGGATTGTCAAGAGAATACATGGGGACAGGTCTTCAAGAGTCTAGACCAGAGTTTCCCAGCCTCGGCAGCACCGACGCTTGAATGGGATGCAGGGGCTGGGAGGCCATGTGGTGCAGTGTGGGATGTTAACACTGCACGCCGGGCCTCTACCTACTAGATGCCAGGATCAGTCCCCACCCCCCACTGAGTCGCGACAATGAAAAATGACCCTAGACATTGTCCTAGACCTTGCCCTTGTGAATACACAGAAGGGCACCACTCTTGAACCCGTCTGACTCCAGATTTACAAAGTTGTAGTTCCTGATTTTAGAGCTCAGTTCTAATATTTTATCCTACTGCTCTGTCATAAGATTCTATCCTAAGGTTCCACACTGGGACCCTGACTTCCAGCATTCTATGCCAGGGTACCAGGGTCAGTTTCAGTGTTGGCAGTTCTCTGATTTCTGATATTCTTTCCTAAGCCCCTAAGGTCCCATCTTCTCCCATATCACAGCTGAAATTCTCCCTGGGAGACAGCCATGCTTCAGTGCCTTCCAGTGAATGCGCCCATGAATTATATATTTTCCGTCATCTCTGAATTGCTCAGCAATTACGGAACGCCAAGGGTCAGCTGCCGAGAGCAAGAGCCTTCCCTTCAGCAGGGAAAAGTGGCAACTCACCAATGTACTTAAAGACGTTACCTCCTGCGGGGTAGGTGTAGGAGTGATATTTTTTTCATTCTGTGTATCTGTATTTTCTTTTTCCACAGTTGGCTATGGTTTAAAGGAAGAGATGGAGAGAGGGCGAGTTTCTGATGTCGATTACACACTTGGGCTGGAATCTTGGCTCCATCACTTACTAGGTGAGGTAGTCACTTCCCTCCCGAAGCCACAGGCTTCTCATGCCTAACATGGGGTGTTGGAGACAATGCAGGCAGCCATGGCTGAAGGCACATGGCTTCTGGAATGTGCTGGAGTCATCCAAGTCCTTGCTCAGGTCTGTCACTTTATATCTCAGGGCCTGGGGAGGGCGTGTCCCTTCTCTGAGCCTCCATTTTCCCAACCCATAAAACAGGCAAACCCACGCCACTTCTCCAGGCCCCCACAGGCATCTGGCCCAAGCAGGCGAGCCTTACTATTACTGCCCCCACGCCAGGGCGCTGGCAGGCACAGAGCCAGGCTGGGAGGGACTGGGGCAGAAATTAGCACCAAGGCAGCACCTTATCTCTCAATTTATTTGTGATTCTTCTAAAAGAGAGGCCTCCCCAGCGCCAATACTAATAGATCATTGTCGTCATGGTGTCTTTAAATTTAGATGAATAACCCCACGCAAACACACATCCACCCACCAACCCCCAGGAATAAATCCGCGGGTGGGAGGGAGGGAGGTCTGTCTCCTCACATCCCGGGAGGGAGGGGCAGGTGGGGGAGCTGGCGTGGGGCTGGGGCAGCAGCAGTTGGCCCCCGGGGACAAGGAGGCTCCTCCCCTCCCTGCCCCCAGTGCTGGGTGGCAAGTCAGGACCCTCAGATGCCCAGCCTGGGGGGCTCATGGGCAAGGTAGTACAATGAAGGTCAGTACTTGATTGACCACCAAGGGCAGTGGGTTTGAATCTGAATAGCCCCCAAGGCTGGGGTGGACATCCTGAGGGCAACTCACAGCCTCTCTGAGCTAGGGTTCCTCCTCTGTAAAGGGAGTGTCTGCAGGGCCCCTACTGTGGGCCTGTGACCTATGCAGACCCTGGGGCCCCTCCCTTGGTTTCATTCTCTGCCGTTACTATCTTGAACTTCTTAGGAAGGTTTGAACAAGGGGCATTTGCATGTTGCACTCGGTCGTGCAATTTATGGAGCTGGTCCTGAGTGGCGGTGAAGTTGGACGAGGCTTGTGATGAAAAGTCCCAGCCCTGGGCAGGGCGCCTGGTGGAGACTCAACCCTGCCTCTTCCCCTCCCACCATTCAGGCTTGTTCTTTGACTTTGTGGCCCAGGGCAAGTAGATTACCCTCTCTGCGCCTTCTGTTTCTCCTTTGTAAAACACAAAAACAAAAATGTCCTTAAATTTTCTTCTGGCTCCTACTTACTGCCACCTCCCCACCCAAAGTACAATTCACTCATTCATTCAACAAACACTCACTGAGTGCCAGCCAGCCACCTGCCAAGCCAAGGTTTGCCCCATGGGCCTGGCCTGAACCAGGGGACCTATCCATGGTGGGTTTATCCTGTGCAAACTTCACAAATGCCTCATCTCTGGGGAAAATTTCTCTTTCCTCACCTCAAAAGACTTCTGCTCAAATCCATGGAAGCCCAGTGTTCTCCTCTGAACCCCAGTCTGGGGCTGTTGCTGTTTCATTTCTTCACCTCTTCATGAGGTTATTTATTAGCTTTTTAAAATTTTGGGGTCTGTGTTGGTTGCAAGCACTAACAGTAACAATTTCTCTTGTTGAGCTTCCAGACCTCGACATGAATAATTTCTAATGTTCACAGTAACTTTGTAAGGTGGGGGCTATTCTCCCCATCACACAGATGAGAAACTGAAGCTCAGATAGGTCAAGGGACTTGCTCAAGGTCAGAAAACTCACAGATGGCCAAGCTGGGATTTCAACCCAGGTCTGTGTGGCCCCAAAGGGCTTTTGGTGACACTTTTGTACAGAAGTTTATCTCCCCCAAGGGCACATGTGCCATGGGCCCTGCCTTAGTCTTCCCCTCATCTCTGGGGCTGCCTCACAGCTTGAGCCATGACATCTTCCAGCCACTCCTGGTTGAGTATCTGGAGCACACCTTTCCTGAATCCCAAGTGCAAATACCAGCCCCTCCAGACAGAGGGGGGCCTTTCCTGTGCTACTTACACAGCAAGTTGGTCCCTGAAGTCTCCTGAATCAGAAGAGGAAAACATTCAGAACCAGACAAAGACACTGGCCATGAGATGACTGGGACATGAGATGAAGCTTCAGGTCCCATGTGGGATCTGATGTGGCCTTTGGATCCCATCCAGGGACCAGAGTTTAGAACCTTCCTGTCTGGGGAATTAGTGATTACAAGAGGCCGGGAGAAATCTCAGTGTAAATCCTAGCACCACCATCAGGCCCCATGAGACATAGGGCATATTGAGGAGCCTTTCTGAACCTCAGTTTCCCCATGTTCAAATGGACAGTAAGTCCCTCAGAGGTGATTGTGAGGATTAAATGAGTGATATCTTGTAATAGCACTAGAGAGGATTTTCTACTTGCTATTATGGGTTGTATTGTGCCCCCCAAATTCCTGTGCTAAAGCCCTAGCCCCCAGTACCTCTAATGTGACCTTATTTGGAGATGGGTCTTCAAAGAGGCAATCAAGTTAAAATGAGGTCTAATCTAACATGACTGGTATCCTTGTAAGAAGAAATTTGGGTAGGGACAGGTATAGAGGGAAGATGCTGTAATACCCAGGGAGGAGACAGCGCCGCACAAGCCCAGGAGAGGGGCCTGGAGCCCATGCTCCCCACATGCCCGGCCCTCAGAAGGAACCCACCCTCCCAACACCTTCCTTCTGGAATTCCAGCCTCCAGAACTGTGATGATACAGCGACAGTAAGTTTCTGTTGTTTAATACACTGGAGCACCGCAGATATTTCTTATATTTTGTTTGTTTTACTAATGAGAGAATTTAATACAGACTGGTAGAAATGTAACCATATTAAATGCCCAGGTCATTGGAATCTCCCCTCTGTGCACACTCATGTGACCCCACTCAGATCAAGATACAAAACATTCCCTTCAGCCCTGGAGGACCCCTCCTGCTTCCCACAGCTGGTCCCCCCTCTCCAGTGGCAATCCCTGCTGTAATTTCTATCAACATGCAACAATTTTGCATGTTTGAGCCTCATAAGTGGCTGAACAATGTTAACAGAGGAAGCCAGACTTTAAACATTTAACTCAAATGAGCTTCATTTAAAAAAAATCCTGAAAAAAGGCACTATGATTATCTCCATTGTACAGATGAGGAGTCAGAGGACCAGAGAGGCTCAATAACTTGCCCCAGATCACACAGCCACAGTGTAGGTGGCAGAGCCAGGATATGAACCAGAACTGGTAGTCTGGCTCTACTCACTGTATTTACTGCCTTTATAATACACAGTAAATGCCCCATAAATATGACCATGGTGATTTCTGCCAAGCCAAGTACGTATTTTTTTCTGTAAATCATATCATATATATATATATATACACACACACACATATATACTTTACATATATAGCATATATACTATACATATATATAACAAATACACTTTATATAGCATAACCATTGGTAAATACTAGCACTGCCCCTTTTCCAGAAGGAAACTGAAGCCGCTCAGAGCAGATGAGATGCACAGCCAAGGTCACAGGGCTAGTGAATAGCAGAGCTGGGTTGGAGTGTGGCTGCTTGCAGAGTTCATGCTTTTAACCACTGACTTCCCCTGCCCCCTGCCCACTTCTGCTAAGAGGCAGCACCAGACCTCCAAACCTGCAGAATTCAAAAACCTGTACTTTCATTGAAACCATAATGAGATGTCACAGCACTCCCACGAGAAGGGTCAAATATATAACCCAAGACACCAAGTGCCAGTGAGGATGTAGAGCACCTGCAACCCTCATCCATCAATGAGAGTGTGGGAATACAGAAGGGTAGGCAGCCACTTTGGAAAAAAGTCTGATGATTTCTTATAAAATTAAACATCCACTTACCATACAATCCAGTAATCCTGCTAAGTATTTGCCCAAGAGAGATGAGAACCCATGTGTGCACAAAACCTGTATGCAAATGTTTATTGCAGGTTTATTGTAACTGCCCAAAATGAATCCACCCAAATGTTCTTCAAGGTGAATGGACAAATCATGGTGCCACCATACAAGGAATATTACTCAGCCATAAAAAAGGATGAACAATGATGGTACAGCAGCGCTGATGAACCTCAAAGGCATTATGCTGAGTGAAAGAAGCTAGACTCTGAAGCCTAAGTGATTCCATTTATACAACATTCTAGACAAGGCCAAAGGAAAACAGACTGGTGGTTGCTGCGGGCTAGGATCGGGGGTAAAGACTGACTACACAGAGGGATTTTCAAGGGTCATGGAACTGTTGTATATCTTGATTCTGGTGGTAGTTACATGGCTGAATGGGTTTGTTAAAACTTGTAGAACTATAAACTACAATGGGAGGATTTTACTGTAGGTAAATTATACTCAATAAAAACACTAAAAAAAAACCCTACAAGCAACCCCATTGTGGTTTTTCCTGCTATTCCAGCTGAGCCCAAAGGAAGGGATGCTGCTTCCAAGAGAATCGACACCTGCTCACTTGCCATCCCAGGCCCTGGGATGCTCACCTGGAGGGAAGGGAGGGTTCAGCCCGGCAGGGACAGCTCCCATGAGCACCCCGGTTCCCACATGACCCTCATCTCATCGTCTGCTCTGCTCCAAGAGCAGAAACAGTCAGGGTTATTTTTGCTTTGAAAAGTACCAGCCACAGGATACTTTCTCCACAGGCAGCCGCCACCCCCTGCTGTGTTTACATAAAAACACGTTTGCACAGGATTTTGTTTTTGCATTTGCCTCAGCGGCCTGGATTCCATTAAATGTAGGGAGGCCTGATTATCAGGTTGGAAGCAGCTGATGGGAGAGAGCAATTGGAGGTGGGGGATGCAGGCACATGTTTCTCCCAGTCCCGCAGAGCCCTGGGGTATCTGTGCAGGGGCGACAAAGTGTGTGTGCACCAGCGTCCCAGCCTCGGCACTACTGCCCTTTCAAAGGGAGGGCTGCCTCACACACCGCAGGATGTTTAGAAGCATCCTTGGCTTCTGCCTAGCAACACCCCTCCACCTGTGTGACAAATCAAAAATGTTTGCAAGTATTGTCAAATGTCTTGGGGGGGCGTGGCAAAAGTGCCCCTAGTTAAGAACCACCAGCTCAACACAGATACACACACACACACACACACACACACACACACACACATACTCAGGCCAGCATCCCTCTACCTCCCAAGACCCACCTGAAGAGAGAGAGCGTGACTGCCTTTTTCACCTCTGGATCCCTGGCTCTTCCCACACCACCAGACACATTCACATTTTAGAGGTTCAAAGACACTCTGTGGTTGGAGCTAACCGTGGAGGCAGGGGAGACACGGCCGATGGTCAGCAGCTGCCTTTGTTCAGAGACCACTGTCCAGCACTCGGACTCTGGCCACCATGTGTGGATCGGTACCATGTGTCAGTCTGTGGCTGTTCCCACATCCCCTCTCCCAGCCCTGGGATCGGGGCCCCCAATCATCCCCATTTTACAGATGGGCACTCAGCTAGTGGGTGGTGGAGCTCGGATCTGAGCCAAGAAACATCTGCCTCCAGGGTCCAGTCTCCTAATTATCACACGCTACTTCAGGCAGCTGCAGCCTTAAATGTTTCTTAAGGACGAGATGGGGAATAAATAGTGACAAAGACTCTCTCCTTAACCAATCTCTACTCAGGCTCCCCAGAATTCTTCTTGAAGTAGGCGTCTCTGCATTGTCCAATTTTAGCAAGAAATTTTAGCAGGTTCAGTCAGTTTAGCAGAATCCCCATCCGGCATATCTGAAATCTAATTGGGTTTCTCATTCTCTGCCAGCCCCCAAGTGATGTCTGCTCATCTGGCCTGCCTGCAGCCTGAATCCTGTTAGGTTGAGTTAGCCACAGTCCCCCCTTACTCCTGATGTTTCCTGATGTTTTAGTAATCTTCCATCCATTAACCCCTGACACTGTTTTCTAGCTATAAATTCCCACTTACCCACGCTGTATTCAAAGTTGAGTTCATTCTATCCTGACCTCTCTTTCCCCTCCTGCAATAGTTCTGAATAAAACCTGTTTTTATCACTCTAACTACTGCCCAGCTGTGAATATTCTTTAACAATAGAGCCAGACCCATGTATCTACACACATGGGGAGAGAATGTGGTTGAAAAGCAGAGAAACTGCCTAGATAAATATGGCAAGGAGTTTGGGCTTTGGTGCAAGACAGACCAGAGTCCAAACCCTGCTTGGCCACTAACCAGCTCTGTGAACTTGAGCAAGTGACTGGGTCTTGGTTTTGTCATCTGTAAAATGGGGACAAGGACAAAACAGCCCCTGATTTTTGTAAAGATTAAGTAAGGTAATGATGTTAACCTGCTTATTGGGGCCTGAAAAATAGCCCACGTGTAATAAATATCAGTTGGATGGGCGCACACAGCTGGCTTTGAGGTGAACGGCTCCGCTAAGGTGGAAACCAAAGGTAGATGTGGTTTACATCAGATCTCAGCAAGGCAGGGGTATCTGATCCCCGGTGGGTCCCCACCACATACACACCCAGTGAGCCAGAAGGTGCCTTTTCCCCAGTGGCCTCCTGCCCCTCTGACCAGACCAAACAAAGGCCCACTGTGTGTGCTGACCAAGACAGGCTGCCCGGCTGGCTAAGAGGCCCACTCAGGCCCTGCTAGGTAGGCATCAGAAGGCTGCTGACCCTTTGCAATCTACAGAGCCGAATTCAGCATCCTGTGACCCCTTCTCAACAGACATGCTGAACACAGGCAACTCTGAGCTGGCCTCGGCTGAGACTGCCCTTGTGCGAGCCCCTGAGAGGCACTAGTGTCCCTCCCAGGCCTGACCTAGGGGCAAGACAAAGGCCCCCTCCCCACCCCCGGCCGTTAGCGTTAGAAGCTTTGGCTTCTCCACGTTAATTCAAGAGCACCCACAGCTCCTGCTGAGCAGCTGAGGAGCCCTCTGGGACCTCTTTTCAATGGCAAACAGTAATTTGCAAACGCTCACAAGGCAAGGAGCAGACGATGGCACAGCTGAGGCGCAGCTGGCCTTTCTCACAGTCCAGGGCCTGCGGGGCCACTTGGAGACCAGCAGCTGCTCCTGGCTGGTGGGAGGGCCTGGGGGGAACCAGCTGGGGCTTTTACAGTGAAGGGGCACATGTGGGTCATGCCTGGTGTATTTGTGTCCTTGGGCTACTACAAATCACCAAAACTGGGTGGCTTAAAACAACAGAAGTCTATCCTCCCACAGCTCTGGAGGCCGGAAGTCCAAAACCAAAGTGTTGGCAAAGTGTTCCTTCTGGAGGCCCTGTGGGAAAATCTGTTCCGTGCCTCCCTCCTGGCAGTGTCCAGCATTTGTTGGCTTGTAGACGCATCACTCCAATCTCTCTCCATTACTGTTCTCTCTCTGTGTGTGTGTCCCTGTTTTCCTTTCATTTAGGGACACCAGCCATTGGATTAGGGCCTACTCCATTCCCGATGGCCTCATCTCAACTAATTATACCTATTTCCAAATAAGGTCCAATTCTGTGTTTCCTGATCAACATGAATTTGGGGGGACACTTCAGTATACACTGTACTGAATTCCACTTCCGTCACTTGCAGCTGTGTAATGATAGTCAAGTTACTTTACCTCTCTGATCCTGTTTCCTCATCTTTAAATATTTTAAAGATAATTTGAAGATTGTTACAATGATTAGATATGATGATACAGTACAGCAAGTGGTCATGAGCACAGACCTGGAGCCAGATAACTTGACACCTACTTGCTGTGTGACCTTGGACACATAGCCTAACCTCTCTGGTCATCTCTTCCTTTGTTCATAAGACAAGGAGATTGAAAGAGATCAAGATCCTCCTCCCCCTCCCATAGTCCCAGTTTCTTAAAGGTCCCTGAAGACACTCTAGGGGTTCATGGGACCTCAGGATTTCCAAAACCCTAGAAATCATACCCTGATCCTCAACAATGGTACAAGTCTGCTTTTTGGCTGGAAATGGATTGACTCAGTGCTAGAGTTCATTCTCTCTCAAGATAAACAGGATTCTTTTCAATAATTATCATTGTCTCTGATGAGGTTTTTTTTTTTAATTTAGTGAAAAAAAATCTTATTTAAAATCATGCAGTTTGTTTAAGAAGCAAAAATCTTTCTCAACACAGAAGAGACCAATAATCACAAGACAGTTCTTGGAACTGAAGAGGCGTGGGCTCCATGGGTTAGATGATACCAGCTAACAATAAATACTAACTGCTCAAGTTATGGAACACTCACTCGATGCCAGCCAACCCTGCCATCCACATCATCTCTCATTTACCCACTGAAAACCTATGAGGCAGGTACTCTTATCTCCTTTATTTTGGGGTTGAGAAGACAGGCCCAGAGAGGGGCCAGTCACACTGCCCATTAGTGGCTAAGTGAGATCTGAATTCAGGTCTGTTTGACTCCAGAGCTGAAACTCTTAAGTAACCAGTCAAACTGCCTCTGTCGACTATGAGCTCTAGAACAGGAAATGTAATGTGAGCTATCTGCATAACTTAGAATGTTCTAGCAGCCATGTTAAAAAAAGTAAAAACAGGTGAACTTTGTTTTAATAATATATTTACTTTAACCCAGCTTATCTAAAATATTGTCATTTCAATATGAAAATACATATAAAACATTATTAATGAGATCTTTCATATTCTCTTTTTCATACAAAAGATCCCAAATCAAGAAGCATTACAGTTGCCCCTCTGTGGCCTCCTTCCATGGGAGGGAGGGAACTGAACACCTGTGCCTCTGGCATCCTCCACACCAGTCCGGGTACCAGAGCCCAACAGCTCCCGCCTCCTCCCGCCTTAGCCCACCCCCGGCCCTGTGGGCGGCTCAGGCCGCTCCAGATGAGGCCCTCCCTGGGCTGACTGAACCCAGCTTGCTCCGAGCTGACCTGGGCTCCCCATGGATCGGAAATAGCCCTGCAGAGATGACAAAGACAGCTGCTGCAAGCCAACAGGCCTAGCTTTAAACCCCAGCTCAGCGTTCCTAGCTGGAACTTGTCCACTGTCCCTTAAAACTGGGGTCATCACAATACCTCCTTCTTCACAAGGTTGACAAGAGGGTCAGAGGAGGGCCTGTAAGACTTGCTTTTCTCTCTTGAACATTTATGAACATTATGTTGGACGCTGAGTATGGACAGACAAGTGGTATTTTTATTCCATTTTACAGATGCGGAAACAGAAGCTCTGAAAGATGGAATCACTTGCCCAGCATCACCCGACCAGCAAATGACAGGTTCAACAACAACAGACCCTTCTCATAGGGTGGAGTTGTGAGGATGAAATGGATGAGTACATAAATTAAAGCACTTAGATGAGTTCTGGGCACAGAGTGTCCTATAGATTTTTGCTCTCCTCATCCCATTATCACCATGGCCATTGTCA